TATAATTTGATTGGATGATTCTTTAAAATAGTAATAATTCACAAAAGTAATGTGTATCAATAATGATCCTTCCGCAGGTTCACCTACGGAAACCTTGTTACGACTTTTACTTCCTCTAAATAATCAAGTTTGACCAAGTTTGGGTGTTCAAAGTGGGTTGCCCCACTAATCACTCCCTCCCAAGGTCTCACTAAACCATTCAATCGGTAGTAGCGACGGGCGGTGTGTACAAAGGGCAGGGACGTAATCAACGCAAGCTGATGACTTGCGCTTACTAGGAATTCCTCGTTGAAGAGCAATAATTGCAATGCTCTATCCCCAGCACGACGGAGTTTCACAAGATTACCTAGCCCTCTCGGGCTTGGTCAACTCGCTGGCTCCGTCAGTGTAGCGCGCGTGCGGCCCAGAACGTCTAAGGGCATCACAGACCTGTTATTGCCTCGAACTTCCATCTACTTGTAATAGATAGTCCCTCTAAGAAGCTAGCTACCTGCAATCGCAAGTAGAGCTATTTAGTAGGTCAAGGTCTCGTTCGTTATCGCAATTAAGCAGACAAATCACTCCACCAACTAAGAACGGCCATGCACCACCACCCACAAAATCAAGAAAGAGCTATCAATCTGTCAATCCTTATTGTGTCTGGACCTGGTGAGTTTCCCCGTGTTGAGTCAAATTAAGCCGCAGGCTCCACTCCTGGTGGTGCCCTTCCGTCAATTCCTTTAAGTTTCAGCCTTGCGACCATACTCCCCCCAGAACCTGATCACTTTGATTTCTCGTAGAGCGCGGATACCGTAAAAGCGGTACCCATTCTCAGTCGGCATAGTTTACGGTTAAGACTACGACGGTATCTGATCATCTTTGATCCCCTAACTTTCGTTCTTGATTAATGAATACATCCTTGGCGAATGCCTTCGCAGTAGTTAGTCTTGTGTAAATCCAAGAATTTCACCTCTGACAACACAATACTGACGCCCCCGACTGTCCCTATTAATCATTACGTGGGTTTGCAAGCCAACAAAATGGACCCTCGTCGTGTTATGTTATTCCATGCTAATATATTCAGGCGAAACCTGCGTTGAACACTCTAATTTTTTCAAAGTAACTGGAAGATTCCTTCCGTAGGAAGGATAAATAAATATCCCTCCGACATTCAACTACGAGCTTTTTAACTGCAACAACATTAATATACGCTATTGGAGCTGGAATTACCGCGGCTGCTGGCACCAGACTTGCCCTCCAATTGTTCCTCGTTAAGGTGTTTAAATTGTACTCATTCCAATTCCGAAACTCAAAGAGCTCCGGATCGTTATATATTGTCACTACCTCCCTGTGTCAGGATTGGGTAATTTGCGCGCCTGCTGCCTTCCTTGGATGTGGTAGCCGTTTCTCAGGCTCCCTCTCCGGAATAGAACCCTGATTCCCCGTTACCCGTTGTTACCATGGTAGGCCACGATCCTACCATCGACAGTTGATAGGGCAGAAATTTGAATGATACACCGAAGATCGGTTCGACAAGATATTATGAATCACCAATGTGTTGGTTTGTATCTAATATATACGCCAAAAGGCAGTCATGTATTAGTTCTGAAGTTATCACGGTTATCCATGTAAAAAACTATCAAATAAACGATAACTGATTTAATGAGCCGTTCGCAGTTTCACTGTATAATTGTTTATACTTAGACATGCATGGCTTAGTCTTTGAGACAAGCATATGACTACTGGCAGGATCAACCAGATAAGTATTGTTGATGTTTAAAGAGAGATCAACGAGTTCTCTCATGTACTTTTTTCGTTAGAAGGGCAATACATTGCCGGGTAGTTGTAGAGGATATCTAGCAACCCACTAATTCGGATGAATGTAGTGCTTTACACCGCTGTGTCGGGTTTCCCCTTGTAGTATTTGCGGTAGCAGGGAAGCGAGGCGCCGGCTGGGGGGGGATACAAGGGAGGGGGAGAGAAGTGGTGGGTACGGGGGGTTTGTGGGAGGGAGGTAGTGCGACAGTTTTCCCATAATCTGAAGGACTTGTTCTGCTTCTGGTTGGCTACAATCACTCCTTACACTTTTCTTTTGATTGCTTCTAGCGTCGCAACAAAGAAAATGGTAGTCTGCAGGCTACAGACTTGAGAAAAATCAAAGTCCGGAGCACTGGGGAGCATTCTGGGACTCTCAATGTCAATCTGGATCAACTCCCGACCTTCACACTTGCCTGGAACACCCAGAAACACCAAAAACCCGATATTAGTCATCAAGGTTAGGTTAGGGTTTGCCTTGTTTCAGATTATTGCCTTGTTTGGACAGAAAAACTCTAGTGAGGTTGCCATGTGTAGTTGATTTGGGATGTGTAAATTAACAAGGGGTAAAATTCAAAAGTGGGTGGAATCACCTTAAATCAACGCAGTAGCCTCTCTGACACCTCCAAAATCGAATTCTGCTTTAAAATCCACCTCTAGACCTCTCCTCGCGCGTGTAGACCATTTTCTCTTTCATTTAAGCTCATTTTAGCTTTCGTAATGTCTCAACCTCCAATATGATAATCTGACTAATCGACGATAATCTGACTAATCGAATCTGACTAATCGGAAGGAAAAGAAAAAACAGAATAAGTCAAATAAAATCAGAACAAATCGGATAAAACCGGGAAAAAACAAATAAGACATCAGAAGACATGGAATCCGATTGTAAGAACCAATTGGCACCCCAATTATGACTTTTAGCCCTTTCTGAGGAAAACCGGATTTTCTGAAATAAATCGGAAAATCAAATAAAACCAAATAAAATCAAATAAAATCAAATAAAATCAGAAAAACGATTAAGACAGTAGAAAACAAGGAATCCGGATCCAACAGATTGTTAGAAACAGCCGACACCACACTTATCACCTTTCTTGAAAAAAGTCCACTCTGACGAAAACCGGATAAAATCAAACAGAACCCTTATAATAAATCAGAAAAATCAAATAAAATCAAATAAAACCAGATAAAATTGACGAAAGCATTAGAAATCCACCCACCAGTCCATCTCACCAAGGAACCAACAAATAACCTATAAAAACTGATCAAATTTCAAAAATTCACCACCACCCCAAACAACCCCCAACAGCCCCACGAAACTAAAGCCCCGTACCAATTAAGAGAATCTTAATAGGTACTGGATGTAATTCAAGAGCGTTTGCACACGAAATTTGGGGTCATTCTGAGCACTTTCGCTGGTTTACTGGCTACTTCTGGTTTATGCTATAGATATGAAATCACCAAGTTCTCACTTAAGCTATAGATCCTGAACCACCAAGCTGCTACCCTTAAACCGCTTAAGCTATAGGAACCGGCATTCTTAATAAATTAATAAAAACTACAAACCACCCCCAACAACCACACGCAACTAAAGCCTCGTACCAATTAAGAGGATCTTAATAGGTACTGGATGTAATTCAGGAGCGTTTGTGCACGAAATTTGGAGTGTTTCTGAGCGCTTTCGTTGGTTTACTGGCCGTTTGTGGTTTATGCTATAGATCCTGAATCACCAAGCTGTGCCCCTTAAAAATAGAAACTGGCATTCTTAATAAATTAATAAAAACCACAAACCACCCCCAACAGCCCCACGCAACTAAAGCCTCGTACCAATTAAGAGAATCTTAATAGGTACTGGATGTAATTCAAGAGCGTTAGCACACGAAATTTGGGGTCATTCTGAGCACTTTCGCTGGTTTACTGGCTACTTCTGGTTTATGCTATAGATATGAAATCACCAAGTTCTCACTTAAGCTATAGATCCTGAACCACCAAGCTGCTACCCTTAAACCGCTTAAGCTATAGGAACCGGCATTCTTAATAAATTAATAAAAACTACAAACCACCCCCAACAACCACACGCAACTAAAGCCTCGTACCAATTAAGAGGATCTTAATAGGTACTGGATGTAATTCAGGAGCGTTTGTGCACGAAATTTGGAGTGTTTCTGAGCGCTTTCGTTGGTTTACTGGCCGTTTGTGGTTTATGCTATAGATCCTGAATCACCAAGCTGTGCCCCTTAAAAATAGAAACTGGCATTCTTAATAAATTAATAAAAACCACAAACCACCCCCAACAGCCCCACGCAACTAAAGCCTCGTACCAATTAAGAGAATCTTAATAGGTACTGGATGTAATTCAAGAGCGTTAGCACACGAAATTTGGGGTCATTCTGAGCACTTTCGCTGGTTTACCGGCTACTTCTGGTATATGCTATAGATCTGAAATCACCAAGTTCTCACTTAGGCTATAGATCAAAAGCACCAACTTCTACAAGCTATAGATCCTAAAACACTGCCTGGATAAAAAAAAAAAGAAAATATCCCCCTCCACAGCAAAGACTCAGATTACACAACACTGCATAAAAAGCAACACTGCAAAGAAAATAATGCTCGCACACGCGAACACAGAAAAGAAGTCATTCACAGATACCAAGTCCTGACAATGTACAGGGAGTGGTCGTCGAGAATGGCAGGAAAAGGACAAGTCCAGGAAAAATACAAGTCCAGGACAAGTCCAGGATAAGTCCGGGATAAGGACAAGTCCAGAGACAGACAAGTCCAGACAAGTCCAGACAAGTCAGTCAACAAACAAACAAAGGCACAGGCAACATTACATCACTCCTTAGAGCAACCAAATAATCACTGGGCTCTCCATCCCATTCGACACCCATCGCACTCCATACCCTCGCTGCGCTCAGGTATGTCGCACGCTCGGGCGTCTTCAAATCTAAACAACAAAGGCTTAATCTCAATAGATCGTAACAACAAGGCTACTCTACTACTTACAATACCTCGTCGTATATAAAAGTCGTCTACAATGGATTTCACAAGGGTAAATCTTTACAATCAGGGAAGAGCAGACAATTTCCTTATCCACCCAAATTCCCCCTCCGGTACTGCGATACTTATTCATATCCATCCTACCCCCTAATTCATCACTTCTAGCATGGGTTCTGACTTAGAGGCGTTCAGCCATAATCCAGCGG